TAGCTGACGCTTTTATCCAAAGCAACTTACAATGACCAATTACAGGGACATTCTCCCTGGAGTAACTAAGGACTAAGTGCCTTACTCAAGGGCACACTAGTGGTGGGGTTCCTGGCGTGATTTGAACTCACAACCTTCCGATCTTCAGCCTACCTCACTATCCATTAGACCACCACTATTTGGGACAGTATGTTGACTTGCACGTGTTTCCTGACACACACTGTAACCTTTGATCAACCTCGACCCTTTGCTTCACCTCATGGTAACCCAGACAATTATAGTTTCCCAGGCCTGTCATCAGCTGCTTCCAATCCTCTCATCTCTTCAACACTTGGACACACACACACACAGACATCATATATATATATATATATCATTATCCACACACTAGACTACACAACTGGTACTGATGCTGCTCACATCTGTGTGAGTGTGAGCGAAAGAGAGTGTGTCTCCACTGTAATGTAATTAATCAACTGAGAGTGTTGATTACTTAATCTGTCATTAGCCAGCCATGTATGCAAGTGTGTGTGTGTATTAGTGTGTGTGTGAGGCAGTAGGGTGTTTCTATGCCCCTGTGTACAGACAGCTGTGACCAGAGCCAAACAGGGCAGAGCAGAGATTGATGATACTGGACTAATACCATCATTCATCAGGGATGTGATATTTCAGGGATTGGGATTTGTTTTGGACGTGCTGCCTTCCTTCATTTCCAACGGGACTTTTACACTTTCTCGGTTCATTTCCTGCTCACTGACTGATGATTTACACCCAATGTGTACCAGTTTCTAAAGGCTAATCCAGATATATCATTTGCTGCATCTGGCTCCACCTATTTGAAAAACAAATTGAAAAATGCCAACCAGATGACATCTGAAAATTGCGAACTGTGGCAAGCAGCAATGACATAATGTATTAAGGTTTGTGTGGATTGATTAATAATGTAATCACCGTAGAGATAGTTATTGGATATGTGCACTGATTAGAATGTTACTCGCCAAACTCTGAAAGATGTGCTTGAAACTTGCACAGTATTTGTTGGAAATGTTTCTTGTGACTACCATGGCATCCTCTTTTAGTACTAACAGTTTTTGCTCAGCATGATGTTCTGAAAACCTGTCTCCATCATGTCATGTTCTCTCTCTCCCTCATTCTTAGCTCTCTGACAACAGCAAGAGGCGAAAGGTTGCACCGCCGCTGCGTATCGCTAATCCATTTTTCAATAGAAACGCACCAATTCATTCATGCACACACACACACACACACACACACACACACACACACACACACACACACACACACACACACACACACACACACACACACACACACATGAGTCTAATGAGGGATTAGCTAATGAATTCTCTCAACAGATTAATTACATTTTACACACACACACGCTTGTGTGCGCACAGACTCCATCCCCAAACGACTGAAGATATGAGCCGGTACTTTGAGAGAGACGGGCTTTTTCAATCTATCACTAAATTGAAATCCGAAGAAACAGATTGGCTCTGGGAAAAGTGGCATTTGATTTAGAGAGAAGACATTAAGACGGATCTGAAGGACAGCGGACTAAAGCATTACTTTTAAAGAGAAAAATAAATAAAGCAGCCTTTGATTCGCTGCCATTTTACATGGCACGAGAAGAATGAGGAGGCATTTTCACATGAATCCAAATGAGAGGCAAACATTTCACATGCGCATCTTTG